GCTTGCCCTTAATCATTCCCATCACGCGCTTGTAGAAACCTTGCCATCAGGGAGCTCAAGCTGCATTGTAGTGCCATTGCACTTTTTGGAGTGAGAAATGATATTCAAGTTCTGTTTCTTTTGCTCTCAGAAACCTAGGCCATGCAGCCCGGAATGATGCTCCATTGTCAGATATGACATGGGTTGGGCTTGAATCCCTAGAATGGCAAAATGTGTTAAATGTGGTGGTGAATGCTTCCAGCAATACATCCTGCACTGGTTCTAGGTGTACTGCCCTCACCAAGGGACAGGAAAACACACATATAGACATCATTTTCCATCTAGAGTTTCAAATGGACCTACAAAGTCCACTCCCATGGTTTCAAAGGGTTTCATCCCTGAATACCAATCATGGGGTGAAGGTGCAACAGGTTGTATAAAGGGTAGTTTGTCAAACCTTTGACACCATGTACATTCCCTTATAATGCTTTGTATTATGAGTCATCCTCCTTTCATCCAGTACCTATGCATCAAGCACTCTAGAATGGCTGTTGTTGAGCCATGCTTCCACTGTTCATGGTGGGATCTGATTAATGCCCTTAGTAAAGGGTATATCCTTCCTGGCTTTGACACAGGAATGTGGATGAGCTGTTTTCACGCTTCAAGACCCCTCCTGTGTCTTGGCAGTGAGACATCAGCATCCTGCCAACTTCTGCACATAACCATCCAGGTTACAGGGTCTCGATGCAAATCTGGCTGCTTCTTGTTGTGGTGTTTTTGGGTTACATCTTCACATGCTGCGTGATCATGAAATTTTTGCATAAGACAAATCCTGTCATCATTTGCAGCTCTTCTTTCTTTTGCTAGGTACCCCATTTTGCATGGGTTAATTTCTTCACCATTTTGCCTTTGTTCTGGAGGATGTGGATGCTTTTGATGGTGTTTAACAAAGAAATCTTTGAAGCGTGTTAACACCATAATCCTTTGTTCCATCTTTTCCCACATACCCAGTTTTTCAAAGAGTGCCAAGACAGTACGTTTTTCTGCCTGGTATTTCTTCTGTGGGTCTTCTTGCTTCTATGCAGCATTGGCAAGGACGTTGATCAGTTTAGGAGGCCACTTGTCTCTATGTTGCAGCCAGGATGGCCTATGCCACCAGAGTTTGGCCTTTTTTAATGCATCTATGTTGCATCCTTGGGATGCAAGATCTGCAGGGTTTTCAGTTCCTGGCATATGATGCCATTGATGCACTGCTGTGCTTGCCACAATTTTCTGTGCTCTGGATTGGACGTATCTGTCTGTCTGCACAGCAGCGTTTGGAATCTAGGCCAGTGTTACTGCAGAATCTGTCCAATAGTGGATGGTATGCCTTTGCAAATCAACCTTGAGTGCTAGGGCTTGCAGCATATTTGTGGCCATTGTAGCTGCCACTAATTCCAACCTATTAATCCGTAATGGTGGCAGGACCTCTCCCAGAGCAGGTCTATACAAGCCTTGGGAATTACTTTTGATTTCCCCCAAACTAGGCATGTTGTTGGTTTTTCCCCATGTGATGTGAGGTATACTGCAATGCCAAGTGCAATGCCACTGGCATCTGAGAAGACGTGTATGTCTCCTGGGTCTTTTACCATAGGTTTGCCACTTTTTGTGGTACTTAAAGGCATCCCGCCTTTAATACCTACAGCAAATGATTTCATGCCAGGGCTTGGTCTTTTTCTTGGTTAATAGGTAGCTCCAGGGTGCTTTCAGGTGTGTCTCATCAAACCTCTGCCTGAGGCCTTTGATGGTTGTGACAAATGGCATTATGATCCCTGGAAGATCAAATAGCTGTCCTTCCACTCCAACAATTTGTCTCTTTTCCAATCATGGACTTTTCACGAGTGACTCTGTGCAGATGCTAATCTTGCCTGCTTCTGGCATATACACTGCCCCTAGGACTTTGTATGGTGCCAGATCTACTGGCATCTCCCCCTGGGGAAGGATGTTTGAATTTTGATCAGCTCAAAGCTGCCAAGTTGCAATGCTTCTTTTGTTTTTGCTAATTTCTCTTGGACGGCTTTAGGCATGTCCCCTGTGCTGAGTAGATCATCCACGTAGGTTGTGGCATCAAGCTCTTCTTTCTCTGTGGCTGGAATATTGCCTTTGTTAACTGCTTTGCAGTACAAAAACCAAACAGCAGCATTGAGGATGAATGGGGCACAATTTATGCCCCTATAGGTAGGCAAGAGAAATGGAAGAATTTTGGGATGGCCCTTCCATCTGGCTGGACCTCAGGCCAGCGGATGATGAAAACCCATTGATCCTCTGGTGCAAGTTCCACCTGCACAAAAGCTTTTCTAATGTCACCTACTGCAAAATTCTCCGCAAATCTCCAAATCACTAGGATTTTTGTTATCTTGGGAAAGATATTAGCCCCTGGGCTAAACAGGCATTGCAGTCATGCAATCAGGTAGCTGATTGCATGACAGGCTTCCAGGGTCTGCAGCATTCCCTGCCATGACTACCCAGAGCAGTGTCAATGCACGTGATGGATTGGCAACACCATGGTGCATCAATTCCATATTGGCAACACCATGGTGCATCAATTCCATATTGGCAACACCTCTTTGGTTCATCTCTTCCAGAGATGTTGAGGTAATAATCCCTTCATCAATCCTGTTTTTGAAGAAGTCTGCATAGACTTGAGCCAATGGGCCCCCAGACTTTAGAAGCTTCACAACCAAGTTGCTGCGCTGTGCGCCAGTTCACAAGCTTGGTTTACATTGAGCTGGATATAAGGATGTTTTCAGTAGGGGTGCCACAACTCTGCCTTTTGGGCTGACAGTGACAAGCTGCTCAAGATACCTTTGAAACTCCTCATCCCTTGTAAGTTGCTCTTCTCTGGGATCTCCCAGCATATTTATTTGATCCTGATATACATACTGCATAATCACATTATTTAACTCTCCATCAGAGGCCTCATTTGGTATATCAAAGCCCATGTGAACTTTTGGAGCTGGGATTGGTGCCTGTAGCCTCTGAGAGGCCCAGGTCCCCCTGGCCACTATCCCCAAGTTGGTAGAAATCCCTTGAAATCCTGCTGTACAGATTGGTGGGGCTGTGTTCTGGTACAGTTGCACCAGATTGCCTCCCCCAGAACTATGTCAAAGGAGAGTGGGGTTGTATGAAGAATGAGCTTATCCACAAGAAATGGCCCAAAGGCTTCCAGCCATGGGAGTGTACTGCAGTTAGTCCCTGCCCATGGTTTGTCTTGTGGCATTACCACTGCCATTTATGTATATGATGGCAAGTTAGCCACCTCCCCCCCCCCTGAAAGTGAGCTTAACTTCCTCTGATGTAGTAACAGGATTTTCCTGTTCAATGCCCTCAATTGTATACAGTGGGCATGGTATTATTGTTAGCCTAAGGTGCTGTACCAGCAACCTTGTAATTAGTGTCAGTTGAGATCCAGAGTCTAGCAAGGTGTATGCTGTACACCTTGACTGTTCTATTTGGATGGCAGCTGTTTCCATGAATGCGCATGTTGGTGCTGTTGGTGGAGCAGCAGCTACAACTAGAACCAAACATTGTTCAGCCACCAGATCCTGTCATGCTGAAGTCAATGGCCCTGCAGCAGGTGCTGCTGGTGCTGGGGCTGGTGCAGCTACTGGTGCAGCTTGATTAATTGCAGGTGTGGCAACAACCACTTGTACCAGTTGTTGCTGACAAGGTTGCCTAGCCTGGGCATGGTTGCATACCGCTGAGTGGTGTGACTCCTGGCAATGACAGCACCTAAGGGTTGACAAAAATTCTTGCACAAAGCGGTTATTGGCAAAGCCTTTGCTGTTCTACAGCTTGCAGTATCGTGAATGTGGTGTTTTCTGCCTCTTCACTATTTGAGCTGCTGATTGTGGGTTTTTGTCCACTACAACTTGGATCATTTCCAAGTATCCACCTCTACAGAGGTGAGATTTGAGAACTGGTCCAAACCTTTGATGCACTTGGTGCATGTTGTTTTTATGGTGCTTAGCTTTTCCAAAATCTTCACAACATTATCAAAATGGTTGTGGAATTCAACCAATGTGGAGGGAGTAGGCAGGTGATTGAATTATCAATATAGCCTGGCCCTCAACTCCTCCTTTCAGCCATGCTCAGTAAAGAGTACATCCCAGCACTCCAAGATATTTGACATCCTTGTCTTGATGGACAAATGCATCCATGTTTTGCCACGCATCACCATCCAGGTAGAGAAGCAGGATCCCAGTATGCTCCGCATCCATTAATTGTTCCTCATGAATTAAGTGAACCAGTGTAAAACTCATCCACGTCCTCTTGAAGGTGTAATCCACAATCAGTTTTCTTGCAAACTTGAGAAAGGAAGGCTTCTGAGCCTGTTTCTTGTACAATTTGACCAAGTCAATATGTGAGAGTTTCAAAGGTTGGCCTGTGCCAACAATTTTGAGAGCTCTCTTGTACGGATCAACAGTTTTTACTGAAGATCCGAGGAATGAGAATTGCTCTGATTCTTGTGGACTGAAAATGCCATCTCCTTGTGGAGGCATTTGTAATGTTGCTTGGGGTTTTTTCTGCCCTGTAGACAAAAGAAGAAGCCCTGCCTTGTGCTTTTGCACCACCACTTTTTTCCATTCTCATTTTGACAATTTTGTGCTTGGGTTTCAACTTCATGTTCATTGTTCATGTCATCATCAGATTCCTCTGGAACCTGTGTTGGTGCAATTGTTGCCACTCTTGCCATGACTGGGTCTACAAAAAATGCAACTCCTAATACCTTGGGCTGTGTAGGACATAGTATTGTCCACACCTTTGTGGTCATATCCTCTGGATAGTAGAGAATGCTATTGATCTCCGCAGCCAATTGTATAATCTTCACAAGTTTGACCTCTGTATATGGCCCATCAGGTAGCACTATGAACTGCGCAGCTGCATCAAACAGTAATGCAACATGTTGTTTGAATCTTGGCTGAGTGGGTCCATTTTCTGGAGTTTTGAAAATATGGTCAATAGCTCTTACGGTGTTTGCTATGCCAAGTATTTGGCATACAGTTTGGAGTCGCCTTGATGCTATGATGGATGAGCAGTTGCTAGATGCCGCCATCAATTCAGGGCGTCAAACTGTTTGGCGGTTCAACCCCGCATTTGAACCCAGAATGGGTGTTTGTGCTGACCTCTGCAAGGATTGCACATGCCCGGTTGGTGGGTCTTGAATACTTAAGACTCTAGTCAAAGTTTGATGGATGCTCTCTGCATGAACCACAGCCCCAAGATCAAAGCATTGCTGGTGCGCTGTGTGCAGCCTGCTTGAAAACAGGGGAGATTACAGCAGGTTCATCAACATCACTCTTTAAGTTGCAATTCTTTCCATTTGCAAAAATTCCAAAAATCAAAATGTTAGGAATTCAACAAATTTGAAATTTCAAACACACATAAAACACAAATTTGCACTGAATGCAATCCAAAGTTCACTTGTAAATGGTGCTCTCAGGTTCAAAGCCTTTCCAATGCAGTTATACTGGCAACCAGTTTTTGTGGGGCCAGAAATGCACAAAAGAATGATGGAAATGAGAACTTAAGTGCATCAGCCTTTACAAGGCCTGATCCTTCTTAATGGGGTCCCAAGAAACTCAGTTTATTGTATGCTCCAACACACAAGTCAGGCAAACAACCAAGACAGATCACACACACACAATCTCTCAACACAACAAGTCAGGTACATCACAATAAGAACAGTTTGTAACCACCAACACACACTGAGGAGTCATCTGGAGATCTTCCTGCTAGCAAGCAAAGTCAGCAAGTCTCAATTTCTAGGCACTGCTGGCTTCCTCTACAACTTTGGTCAAGCCTACTTAACCAGTTTTTGGGCTGCAGAAGGTAGCAGGAGCTTCCATCCTGCCCATCCCTGTTCATGGGTCCCTGGTACAGGTTTTCATAATTCCTCCGCAAAGATGCTACAAGGGGCTATGCCCAGCAAATAATTTGTTACAGGTATTGCTGCGCATAACAGCTACGCATTAAAAAATGCGTTTGTTATGCATCACTGTTATGCCCAGCTTCTTCTGAAATGCCTTTCTTTTTTTTCTTTGTTGCTGTACTGACAGTTTTTTCTGAGATGCGTTCAGAATGCATTTTTAATGCATTCTGTAGTTACGCCTATACTTTAAACATTTTTGATGAGCTTTTCTTGAGTGTAGCAGGCAGGCGTTTCAAAACGCCTGCCTGCTACACTCAAGAATTTATATTTTTTCAGATTTTCCTGGGTGTAACATGGAGCATTTTGAAACGCTCTGTGTTACAACCAGGGAAAATCTGAAATAAACAGTTTTTAGCATTGTAACAGAAAGGCATTTTAAAACGCCTGCTTGTTACAACCAAGGGAAATCTGTAGAAATCAGTTTTTTGGGATTGTAACAGATAGGCATTTCAAAATGCCTGTCTGTTACAGTGCCAAAAACTGTTCATTACAGCTTTTCCTTCTTTGTAGCATGGAGTATTTTGTAACACCAGCCTGTTACATTCTTTAAAGTTATTCTTTATTTTTAACAGTATTTTTAACATCAAAATTTATATTTTGTGGTTTTGTA